CAAGCCACGGCCACTGATGTCCACAATGGGATTGGGAGCCAGAGATGGTGGAACCCGTCATACAAGGAATCTTCGCCCGAGAGGCAATCGGATTGAACTTTACCTATAAATGTTAGCATCCAGTTTTATTATTATTTGTTTTATTATTATGTGTATCTAGAAAAGAATCCAGGCCTTTTTTAAAGCAATCAACTGAGCTGGCCAGAACCAACTGAGGGAGTCTATTCCACATTTTCACAGCTGTCACTGTGAAGACTAGAGATGAGCGAATCGAACCAGGCAAAGTGGAATTCGATTCGAATTTCAGGAAAAATTCGATTCGCGTCGAATCCGAATATTAGCCTACTTCGGGTGCGCGAATCGGATTTTTCCCGATCAGCCGGCAAAAGTGTCCATGCAGAGAGCTCCGCTATTTCTGACAGTTCTCTGACAGTTCCTTCACATGTACAGCGGTTGAAACATTGTATCTATTTGTTTCCATTTAGGATACAGATGTTTTTATTCGGAAACAGATACAATGTTTCAACCGCTGTAAATGTGAAAGTCAGAGAACTGTCAGAAATAGAGGAACTCTGCAGATACACTTTTTGCCGGTTTGGAATTATTCTTATTTTCATCCTACTTCTTCTTCTTCTTCTTCTTCATCCTCATCCTCAGAAGAAGAAGAAGAAGAGGATGAGGATGAAGAAGAAGAAGAAGAAGTAGGATGAAAATAAGAATTCCAAGCCGGCAAAAAGTGTATCTGCAGAGCTCCTCTAAGTGTATCTGCAGAATAGAGGAGCTCTGCAGATACACTTTTTGCCGGCTTGGAATTCTTCTTATTTTCATCCTACTTCTTCTTCTTCTTCTTCCTCTTCATCCTCATCCTCCTCCTCTTCTTCTGAGGATGAGGATAAAGGTTTCTGACAGTTCTGTGACATTCCCTCCATACAGCGGTTGAAACCGCTGTATGGAGTGAATGTCACAGAACTGTCAGAAATAGGCTATTTCTGACAGTTCTGTGACATTCCCTCCATACAGCGGTTGAAACTCCTTCTTATCATCCTTCTCCTTCTTCTCATCCTTCTCCATCTTCTCATCCTTCTCCTTCTCCTTCTTCTCATCCTTCTCCTTCTCCTTCTTCGCATCCTTCTCCTTCTTCTCATCCTTCTTCTCATCCTTCTCCTTCTTCTCATCCTTCTTCTCATCCTTCTCCTTCTTCTCATCCTTCTCCTTCTGCTCATCCTTCTTCTTCTTCTCATCCTTCTTCTTCTCATCCTTCTCCTTCTTCTCATCTTCCTTCTTCATCCTTCCTTCTTCTTCTCATCCTTCTCCTTCTTCTCATCCTTCTCCTTCTTCTCATCCTTCTCCTTCTCCTTCTTCTCATCCTTCTCCTTCTCCTTCTTCATCCTTCTCCTTCTTCTCATCCTTCTCCTTCTTCTCATCCTTCTCCTTCTTCTCATCCTTCTCCTTCTTCTCATCCTTCTCCTTCTCCTTCTTCTCATCCTTCTCCTTCTCCTTCTTCTCATCCTTCTCCTTCTCCTTCTTCTCATCCTTCTCCTTCTCCATCTTCTCATCCTTCTCCTTCTCCTTCTTCTCATCCTTCTCCTTCTTCTCATCCTTCTCCTTCTTCTCATCCTTCTCCTTCTTCTCATCCTTCTCCTTCTCCTTCTTCTCATCCTTCTCCTTCTTCTCATCCTTCTCCTTCTTCTCATCCTTCTCCTTCTCCTTGTCCTTTCTCATCTCCAAGGGCATTTAAATTAAAGGTACAGTGTTCTGCACTAATTTAAAGGCTCTCTGAAGCCTAGAAACCCTTTTAATAAGTTAAATTCGTAGCGAATTAATTTGCATCGAATCGAATTTCTTCCTCAAATTCGGCGAATCAGCCGAATCGAATTTTTGAATAATTCGCTAATCTCTAGTGAAGACATCTTTCCATATTTGGAGATTAAATCTCTTTTCCTCCAGAAGTAAAGAGTGCCACCTTGTGATGACCTCAGGGTGAATGACTCTACATCAAATTCACAATATGAACCACTGATGTTTTTATATAGGTTGATCATATCCAACCTTAAGTTGGAGACATCCTGTAAGAACGTTATTCCACTGCACAGCTTGGTGTCATCTGCAAAGACTGAAATGGCATTTTTAATCCCAAACCCTAAACAGTGAAGGAAATAAGTATTTGATCCCCTGCTGAATGTTTGCCCACTCACAAAGAAATGATCAGTGTAAAAATCGAATGGTAGGTGTATTGTAACACTGAGAGACAGAATAGCAACACAAAATTCAAAAGAAATGCATATCTAACAAATTATGCACTGATTTGCATGTTCATGAGGGAAATAAGTATTTGATCCCCTATCATTCAGCAGGATTTCTGGCTACCAGGTGTCTTTCATACAGGTAACAAGCTGAGATTAGAAGCAGTTTTTTAAATGGAGTGCTGCTAATCTCATTTTGTTACCTGTATAAAAGACACCTGTCCACAGGAGCAATCAAACAATCAAATTCCAAACTCTCCACCATGGCAAAGACCAAAAAGCTGTCCAAGGATGACAGGGACAATATTGTAGACCTACACAAGGCTGGACTGGGCTACCAAACTATCGCCAAGCAGCTTGGTGAGAGGGTGACAACAGTTGGTGCAATGATTCGCAAATGAAAGAAACACAAAACAACTGTCAGTCTCTCTAGGTCTGATGCACCATGCAATATCTCACCTCATGGAGTGTCGATGATCATGAGAACAATGAGGAATTATCCCAGAACTACACGTGAGTATTTTGTCAATGATCTGCAGGTAGTTAGGACCACAGTCACCAAGAAAACAATTGGTAACACACTACGCCGACAATGATTGAAATCCTGCAGTGCCCGCAATGTCCCTCTGCTCAAGAAAGCACATGTCCAGGCCCATCTGAAGTTTGCCACTGAACATCTGAATGATGCAGAGGAGGACTGGTTGAAAGTGTTGTGGTCAGATGAGACCAAAATTGAGCTCTATGGCATCAACTCAACTTGCTGTGTTTGGAGGAGGAGGAATGCTGCCTATGACAAAAGCGAACAATAAATGAAATCATGTTATGGTCACTGCTACTCAGATGTTCTTTTATATGGACAGTAGTAATAAGCTCTGCATGGTTTGAGATTACCAGGTCCAGCAGAGCATCATTCCTCATTGGGGCCTCTATGAACTGTACCTGTAGTAGGTTTAAAAAATGTTTCCCTTTAACAGTTCCTGCAGTGCCATTTCTCCAGTCAATTTCTGGGTAGTTAAATTCCCCCAATATTATCACTGTCTCCGCCCTTGCAGCCCTTTCGATCTATGCAAGGAGCTGGGTCTCCACCTGCTCATTAACACTGGGTGGCCTATAACAAACTTCAATGATTACATTTGTAGTACGCACATCCATGTGCAGTTCCACCCATAATACTTCTCATCACACTCTCTATCAACTAGATCCTCTTTCACACTCACTCTGAGATCACTTCTCACATAGAGTCAGACACCACCACCTTTCCATTTTACCGTGTCTCTCCAAAAGAGAACATAGCCAGGAATATTAATGGCCCAGTCATGTGATGAATGAAGCCAAGATTCAGCAATACCAATTCAATCATAGTTCTCTTCATGCACCGAAGCTTCCAACTCAACTATTTTGCTTGGCAGACTTCTGGCATTGGTGAACAAACACTTTAATCCATTGACACCTTTTGCACATGTATGTTGCATGTTTTTTATTTTCATACAAATTGTACCAGTTCCAATGGTTGTTTGTAACATGGGAACTTTCTTATCACCTGCCACATCACCTTCCATTTAGGTGTAAACCATCTCTAGCATATAGGTTGCACCCCAATGAAAAGTCAGCCCAGTGCCCTAGAAACCCAAATCCTTCCCTCTTACACCAGGTCTTTAGCCATGTATTTAGTTCTCTAATCTCCCCCTGTCTTTCCTTTGTTGCGCATGGCACAAGTAATATTTCAGAGAATATCACCTTGAAGGTCCTTCCCTTCAACTTGCAGCCTAGTTCTTTAAATTGAATCTTAAGGAGCTTCCACCTTCCATGTTTTCAGTCAATGGTTCCAACATGGACCAAGACAGCTGGGTCATGCCCAGCCCCTCCCAGTAATTTATCAACCTGGTCCACCACATGCTGAATCCTGGTACCAGGGAGATGGCAAGCCATTTGCTGAGGCGATCCTGGCAAAAAATGATCAGTCCTTCTGAATATAGAATCCCACATTACCACCAACTGTCTAGACCTTCCTGCACTACCCTCACCACCCCTCCCAGATTGCCTGCTCTCCCGTCTGTTAGGGATAGCAGTGACATCCAGGGCTGCCATCCCTGAGCTTGCCACCCCCACATCTTCACCCAACTTGGCAAATCTGTTTGGGTGCTCAAACCCAGGGCTGGCCTTCCTTTTCTGTGATCCCCCTACCACTCTCTCTCGCTAAAGTAATCCATCTTCCTACCTGATAATCCTGACTAGCCCCTCCCCCCTCCACATCAATCCCATTAGCTACCTGCTCGGAGAGCAGAAGACCCTTTTCAAGGTTGTCCGTTCTACCTAGTGTTGCAACTTGCTCCTCCAGATCTCTAAAGTGAGCTTCCAGAAGGGCAACCCACTCACATCTTATGCAGCTGTATCCATCCTGGACCTGTTGCTCCATTGTTGAATAAATGCGGCACACTGTGCACTGCACAAAACCTTCAACCCTGCTAGCACTCATATCCCAATTAAAATATTTTTATTACTAATAGGAAATATCAGTTGTCACTTACAGGGTAGTAGACTCCTGTTATAATCTCCTGTTTTCAACTCCGGTTTTTTAACTCCCCTAATCAAATGTCCACTTAATCGAAGGTCCAGCAAGCAAAATACAGGCAAGCTCAAGAATGAGTAAGCTCAGAGTGAGCTCTACATAAAGTTATATAGTGCCTGGAGCACCTATGACTAATTAAGCCCTCCCCTTAATTAGCAGACTGAAGAAAGGAAAAAAAATGCTATTCAAAAAGTGACAGAAAAGGTGATTTAAAAAATTAACCTCTTGCCGTCCGCCTGCTGTTTATAAACGGCAGGGCGGTGGCAGTCCAGGGTCGGGTTGCCGTCCATAAACGGCACCCGCCTTTTCTAGCTGTGCGCGATCCGGTGCCCGCTGTGTCCTCAGGACACAGTGAAACACCGATCGTCGGACGGGACCTCTGTACGAGGTCCCGATCATGTGATCACTGATTGGCGAATCAGTGATCACATGCAAAGTAGTAAGCAAGATGTCACTTGTGACATCATTGCTTACTATGTGTGAAATCTGTGAATGATCACAGAGGTCACATGGTACAAGGCTATTCACAACAGCCTTGTACCATGTGACAAGCTGTGACCACTCACAGCTCACTCAGTAATTCTCAATGACTGCAAAAATGCAGACAGAGAGAAAGAGAAATGATTGATTTTACACCCTATATGGGTGTAAAAGCAATCAGTGTAAAAAAAAAAAAAAAAATCTTCATCACCCTCCACAAGTAGTACAGTGTCACCATGGTGACAGTGTACTGCTAGGGTGACAGTATGTAAAAAAAAAAAATAAATAAAAAAAAAATAATAATATAAAAAAAATAAAATGTAAAAAAAAATGTTTAAAAATTATAATTTTTGGTTATAAACTAATTTTGATTTTTTTTTTTTTTTTACTAAAAAAATAACGGAATAAATTTTGGCTAAGATTTATGATGAAATATTATTTATTTGCAAAAATTTTTTTTAAAAAAACACTTTTTTTCAAAATTTTTGAACTTTTTCATTTACATAGTAAAAAAAATAAAAATCCCAGCGGTGAATAAATACCACCAAAATAAAGCTTTATCTGTCTCAAAAAAATGGTAAAAAATTCATATGGGTACAGTATTGCATGACCGCGCAATTGTCATTCAAAGTGTGATAGCGCTGAAAGCTAAAAATTGCCCTGGACAGGAAGGGGTAAAAGTGTCCGGACAGGAAGTGGTTAAAAGCTGCTAGCAAGACCCCAAAGAAGAAAATAAAACTACAAGTACCAGCAATTACTGTACCAGCAGTCAAAAACATACTACTTCATATGGACAGTGTCTGTCCTCTAGGTCAAATATAATTTCCAATTTTCTTAGATTTTTAGTTTTACACTGTTAAATGTTTGGCCTAGGGGGCTTATATTCCAATTGCTTGTAATGACATTGCTGAATCCCTGCCTCAATTGCAATGGACAAGATTTTGCAATTTGGTCCCAGATGTAGAGTAGGTTCTCCCTATCTATAGTTGATATGGTTTTGATTAGCCAATGTTTAAGAATTGCATTTTTCCTTAGAGTCTTGGGAAAGACTACAGAAGTGCTTGGAACAGGTGTCAGTTTTGTTCTACAAACATTTGATCACATGGGTTATCAATGAGCGTGTGACTCTTTCCCTCTCTCTTGCCGATTAATTTTAGTTTTTCTGCTATCCATAGGATTTTGGAAGTGTGTAATGTTTTCTTAAATTTAGAGGTTGTCTTTCTCTGTCCTTTATTTTCCAATTTATCAGACAATAAAAGGATATATTGTACATGACTTATATGAGCACATTACTTTGTTGTTTTGGTTTTAAGTTTGTCAGTACTTAATGATGTTTTCTTGCAAGTTTACTTTACGTTGTGACTCTTTGGGGTTCTCAGTTTGGGTGATAATATTGGCAAGAATAAATCTGGTGCAGCGGTGGATTGACAACTCATGGGGCCCCCCGGGCAGTAGGGGATCATGGGGACCCTGTGTCCTTGCCCATACTCAAAGCACACCCAAAAAAAAGGTACCAGGGGCATTTCATGGGGCCCCCAACTGACCCCGGGCCCTCAGACAGTGCCCGAGTGCTCGAAAGGTCAGTCCGTCCCTGATCTGGTGCTTTGGTTTGATGCTAGTAGTTAATCAGCTTACAAAGACACCTGAACTCGATCAGTTAGATAAAGATTCTAATATAATTTTAGACCCCTATCTATTTTGCCCTCTGTTTAATATATGTTTAAAGTAGAACTATAGGCAAACCGTTTTTCTTTTTTGGATAGAGCAAGGGAGTGTTATAACCCCCATCAGATTGTTTTTTCTCCATCTTTGTCCCATTGCATAGATTTCCCTTCACTTCCTGTCCCATAGCCAAAGCAGGAAGTAAGAGGAAATGCCTGAAAATTAAGGAAATCCCTTGGGGCCCCCATTGGAAGATTTCTCCTCTATTACTTTTCTGGGTACAACCCCAAATTTGGGATTTTCTTTTACTTTCACTTTCATTGATGATGGTAAACAGGACAAATAGAGAGGGTGAATCTCCATAGCGGGGGGACTCGAGACAGACAGTAATGCAAAACTATGTAAACATCCCTTCTGATAACAATAGGCAGTGGCAGGTACTCTTTACTGAGAGATCTAGGATCTATTAGACACCAGATCTCTCCTTTGCTTTAAAAGCTTCAGATCATACCAAGTGGTATGATCCAATGCTTTTTTCAAATAACCAGTGGTTCGAAAACATCTGTCGCGAGTCGCAACCTGAAGTGACAAAACACTTGTCGCTTCCGGTTTCTCAGACCATAGAGAAGATCAGGGCCATTCCGGTCCCCGATCAGCTCTATGGTCAGCTGGCAGAAAAACTAGCTGCACACTGGAGTCTTCCGGTAGGACTGGAGAGCCCAGGATGGTCAAGGAAGCCTTTAGCTGCAGGCATCATCTCAGTATAAGCACTCAAAGTTAGATGACGTGCCCATATATCACCTGGCATGAAATGGTTATAAGTATTTGTAAAGGCAAAACTTTAGGATAGAGTAAGGAAAAGTTTAAACCCCTATAACGGTACTTTTTGCTGTCTGTGTCCTTCTAGGCAGATATATTCTTCACTTCCTGACTTGGAGATGCAGCAAGAAGTCAAGGAAAGTCTCTCCACGTGAGAGGTATAACCCTATTAAACAGCTATCACCAGAACATTTGCCCATTTTCAAAGATTTCCCTTCACCTCCTGGTTTCATGACACCACTAAAATTTTGGATTTCCCTTACTTTTTGTCTTGGTAAAAATGGTCACCAGGAGAAACAGGAATGAACCTCCCCAGTGGGGACATAGACTACACTAAAAATTTAGCAGAGGTTCTACACCCTATCCCACATATAGGGTGGCATACCACATTGTTGCTTTCATTGGTACAATAAGTGGAGGGACAAGCAACCTTTCATCAGGATTGTAGTGCCTTGCACCACACACACAGCCATAGGCTGAGCATTGGTTAGCTATTTGTACTTGTTAGCTTTTTCAGTTGCCAAATCATTACAGGTTATGTGCCTATAATCTTCACTTCAGTTAATCCAGCCTTGAAATTTGTATTGCATTGTTTCCTAAATGATCCATCAGTGACTTAAAACAAAGGCAAAGCACAGCAGTTCCAAGAAATAACCTCTATTTGCTTGATAAGTCTATTGATAGATGCTTACAAATAGAGCAATATCAAGCTGTTAAATGTGTCATACTTCCTTCTTACCCTCTTAACGTGTGTGTATATACAGGAGCCTGGCATGATATCAATTAAGAAAAAAATAAATAAATAAATAAAATAAAAAAAAAATATATATATATATACTGCCTTCATTAGCATCCATTATACATTCAATGACGCATTGCAGGATATCAAGAAAGCCATGCAAGAGATAATATAGGGCTATGAATCTGCAGGATCAGTGAGTGAGTGAACTAATTAATTAATTAACCATCCTGTGCTTTATTACAGTTATACATTCAGCATATTCATTTAATAGAATAAAAGAAATGGATCAATTCTGATGATATAGCAGCAGGTTAGGGGTGGGGGCAGATGTGTCTTGAAATCCTGTTAAAATGTATCCATTGTTCACCTTTTGCAAATATTTATTAAATGCGGCAACACTGATAAATTAAAAACATTGTATTTACTACATTTTTGCATTGAGGCCTGCAGAGCATTGTAACAGTGATTGGTATGTTGCGGGTTCAATGCACCACTGCATTATTTACCCTTAAACCCAGGTCTGTTTGGAGGTACAGGCCTTCTATTTTGTGGCTGGAGGAAGTGCTGGTTTAACTACAATTGGGTAGACTGACCTGCTGCTGGCACATTCTGTTTAGATCCTGTCCAGTGGTGGCAGAAGGGACCTGTAGTATTTTCATCCCCGTGAATTAATGATGTGGCTGTACGAGCAGAGCCACAGTCATCAGCATTGAGTTAAAAAGCAGAATTAAGGAACAAGTAATGCCCCATAATTTTTGTAAGGTGTAAATAGTGTTTTGTTTTTCGGATGATACATGCTACCATGCTTCATGCCACACCCTAATGATGGGTGTAATGTGAAACATGGTCTAAAACTTGGACTATGTCTTTAAATCTGTAAGTAATAAAATATTACAAACTAAGATTTATGCACATGGTAATACAATTTCTTATTATACTGTACATTTTAATTCAACTTCCCCCAGTGTGGACTATTATGGGATTAGCAGATATTTCTTAGATCAGTGGTCTCCAAACTGCAGCCTGTCGGTCGGATGTGGCTATTTACTTGCCTTTATTCCAGCCCTTGGCTCACTATTCCTCTCACTGATAATAACATTGGAGCATCATTTCTTCCACTGACACCAACAATGTGGCACTATTCCTCCCACTGACACCAATAATGGGGTACTATTCCTCTCACAGACACCAATGATAGCGCACTATTCTTCCTACTGATACTAAAGATGGGACACTATTCCTCTCACAGACACCAATGATGGCGCACTATTCCTCCTACTGATACTAAAGATGGGACACTATTCCTCTCACAGACACCAATTATGGTGCACTATTCCTCCTACTGATACTAAAGATGGGACACTATTCCTCTCACAGACACCAATGATGGCGCACTATTCTTCCTACTGATACTAAAGATGGGACACTATTCCTCTCACAGACACCAATGATGGCGCACTATTCCTCCTACTGACACCAATAATGGGGTACTATTCCTCTCACAGACACCAATAATGGGGTACTATTCCTCCCACTGACACCAATAATGGGGTACTATTCCTCTCACAGACACCAATGATGGCGCACTATTCCTCCTACTGATACTAAAGATGGGACTCTATTCCTCTCACAGACACCAATTATGGCGCACTATTCCTCCTACTGACACCAATAATGGGGTACTATTCCTCTCACAGACACCAATAATGGGGTACTATTCCTCCCACTGACACCAATAATGGGGTACTATTCCTCTCATAGACACCAATGATGGCGCACTATTCCTCCTACTGATAGTAAAGATGGGACACTATTC